TAATTTATTTTATATGTAGATTATATACTATGTATAACTTGAATTATACACCAACAACTTTGGGGGTACAAAGTTGAAGAGAAATTATATCTGGGGGTACGCGAACAAAAAATATTGAATACCACTGCTCTAGAACACCGTAGTAACTTGTGAAGGTCACTTTCTGCATCTAATTATAGGTACTTAGGGACTTTTAGAAAGTTTATAAAGAAAAATATCTTTTCAGATTTTCTCAACCCAATGGCGGTAGCACTAGGAGAGTCGAACCGGCTTGACGAAGTGGACGACCTGGAGGGCATAGATATTTCTGATCTCATAACAGACCTAGATTCGTTTGATCGAATCGTGCTTGAGGCAGAACTCGGTACCCTCGACGTATCTCCTGAAGAGCTGGACCAGTACTGTGGACGGCAAATCCGATCGCCATAACAACAAATTGAAAAAGCGAACTGTAAATCCTTAATTCTTCCCAGACCACCAGGACGGGGGAAAATTTATTCCGGACTGAAACCTGTTTTGTAATAAAAACTCTACAACCACACAATTTCAAGCATTAAAGTGAATTCTCCAAAAATAATTCTGTCATGAGCATATTAAATCCAGTAACACAGACGTGTGTATTCTTCAAAGTTCTAACTTATTTTTTATACTATTTATATGCAGTCATATTGCACTTAGGAAACAATCATGTGAATTTTTTTATTTATTCATATTATAATAGTTCGTGTGTACATTAGATTCAACAAAAATGACACAAAACTCAATGATTGTGAAGTGCCAATGATTCAATTAGTAGCACAATGAGAACGAATTCCTCTGCTGAGGCATGTGAACGTGAGGCCAGCAGTCAAGCTAGTCGGCCTTGGCTCTCAGAGGGCTGTTACGCCACGGATTATTATTATTCCATCTATTCACCATTTTATGGGGTACGTACTTCCATGTACCTGAGATAGACCTTGTCCCTAAGGTACAGCTATTCCGGGATACGTATTGTTTTTAATACGTGTTACATGTATTATATAATTTTATTTTATGAAAGCGTCTTTCGTATTACGTATGAAGATCCTAAAATGGCGGTCTTCTGAAGTTCCCTGATGACGTGTTCGCCCGGGATGTTGGCCAAATATTTTCTGAGTGACCTGGAGACAGTTCCTGTCACTCCTATAATTATTGGGATTACTTTTGCTTTATTATTATTATTTAGTATTATTTATTTTATTTAGAATTATTAAATTGAATTATATTACTTAGGAATAGTATTCAGCTCATTTATTTGTGAAATATGATTCAATAAATGAATTGAATTATTATTATTATTTATTTTATTTAGAATTATTAAATTGAATTATATTACTTAGGAATAGTATTCAGCCCATTTATTTGTGAAATATGATTCAATAAATGAATTGAATTATTATTATTAATATGGTACATTTATATATTTAGTTTCATTTGTTTGTTTTACTTTTATTATTATTTAAATAAATAAATTATTTATTATATTTTATCCTGTACTCTGGTTTAGTACTTAGCTGTTATTGGCCATTTTGGCTGTTGTCAAGTTCTTAAATAAATTAATTGAATTATTATTATTATTATTATAGGAACGAATTTATACATCACTGTAAATACCTGTTACATATTTATGCATTTTGTATCAGTTGTGATTTAAAAAAAAAAAAATGAATTTGATGGTGCTGTATAATTACTTCGTGAATTTCTTTCAAGTCTGCCCAAAATGATGTACAATTTCTGTTCAATTTAATCATGGTTCTCTAGATACAATTTTTGGTTCCCACAAGAATAAAATATCAATGTCTGAACAAACCAACACATTTCAGTGCAAGTAGAGTAAAGGTCATACCAGTGGGCATGATAAGAACGATATCTTTTTAACTGGTAGTAAAAACTACCATGTATTATGACTATAAAAATGTTCAAATGTACAAATTACATGAATCTACGAAGAAGTACAATTTTGAAATTACTGGTGATGACAATAATATTTCTAGAGCAGTAGTTCCCAAACTAAGCTCCCAGGGAGCACTGGTGTTCCATCGAATGGTCCAAGGTGTCCTGCCACTGAAGTTCAGTCGGTAATAGTGGTCATTTTCGCAGTTCACAAAAAATTATAATTAAACTGGCAGAATTTTCTCAATTTCACATTTTTCCCAGTCTTTCATCTGACCTGGATCACCTAATTGCATCTGCAGCAGTTGTGTTATTATCGTCAACAGATATTTAATTATAATTCAATAACTCATTAAAATGTGGGCAGGAGTTGAGCATAAGACAATGGTAACAAGGCTTGTGATAAATTCTTAACTCGATCTGCAGAATTCGTGCCCAGGACATCTGGGACAAAGGTCCTGTGCCTTTCGCCTGGATCATCACTGTTCTGCAAAGCGACAAATCCTCTGAAAGGTAAAGTTGTCTCTGGTGCTTAATATCACACCCTGAGGACATGTGGGGGTGAAGGCACTGCTTCAAACATTCTTGGCACTAG